CTCCGGCCGCCTGGGCCCCCGCAGCGGCGGTTGCAGGCCGGGCGGGGTGACGGGGTGGCCGCGGGAACTCTTAGCAGGTGGAGCTGTGAGGGACCCCAGTTCCGGGCTGCAGAGGGGACAGTCAGCCGCCCCTCGGGTGGCAGCCTCCCGAGGTCGCATGTCTGCAGCCTGAGTTCACCGGCGAATTCATATTCCTCGCTTTTCCTAATTGAGTGAATTATATAGTTAAGTGTGGGAAATACCCCGGTAACACCATCACACTAAGCACTTAATTTCTTGCCATTTGGGCTCGTGCTAAAGGATTTTGTGGCTTTTCCTAAGCTTTTCTGAGTAATGCATCTGTTTGAATGTCAGAATGTTATTCTTCCATGGTGGGAATGAACCTTAGTTAAATATTCAGATGAATGTTCACAATTTTCTCTTTCTGGAAGTTTATGGATTCAGTTATATGGCCTTGGTGTCTCCTTAGCAGTGAGTGCTGCGCCTGGAGGAGAGGCCTGTGGGGCCTGATGGACGGAACTCAGGCCTGGGCTGGATGAGTGGGGACGGACTCAGGCTGACGAGTAGTCTTGGTTGGCATACGGGGAACGTGGAAGGCTGAGTGGTCCTGGCCTTCTAGAGGCTTGTGTGTGGCTATGTTTGTACCTAAACTCTTTTGGAGGACCCCAAAGGTGGATTCTTTGCCTACTTTAAGTGTAAGATAAAGAGGCTTTGAATTTAGAGGTAAACGGTGCTGAGCCCAGAGTGCTGAAAATGAGCGCCCGCAAGGTGGTGGCTTTTTCCAGTGTCGGTTTTCCTTTTTTTCGCTGTCCACCGGTCTTCTCCCCACTGGCCTTCCTGCTCCCGTTTCATTTTAGGATTTTGGCCCTTAAGGGGAACTTGAACCAAATGTTACTTAAAACCTGGAACAAGCTGAACTGGAGCTGTATTGACTCAACTGTGAATCAAATCTAAGGGCTTAAAAATTTAAACTATCCTTGGTGAGCCACTCTGATCTGAAACAGTCTATTTTCTAAAAAGTTTAGAGCCAGAATATTCAATTCTGTCAATCTTCTAAGTGTGGATTCAGAGAGTTCACATGTGTGGAACATCCAGTCCGCCTCCAGATGTGGCGTGCACGCCCTGCTCCGAGCGCACAGCCTGCTCCTCCGACCCTCGCCTGGCCTCCACCTGCCCCTCAGGTCTCCGCTGCGGGCTCATGGCCTCCATTCATTTCCTGCTCTCTGCTCGGGGTCTCATTCGCTCTCCAAGCTTTGGCCCCATCTCTCTAATATGCTGATGACTCCATTCGGGGGACCCAGGTCTTGTCCCAGATGCACTGGATGTCTTGCTAGATCTTACACTGGCAGAGAAGGACGCGCCCTAAACTAAAAGACTTCCTTGTTCCCCCACCTCTGCTGGTACTGGTCCCTGGTGAGTGGTGCTCCTGTCCCCCCAGCGCTTCTCTTCTCTTGCACCTCCGCCCCTTTCTGTCACCGAGTCTTGCTGGTTCATGTCATCTTCCCACCCCAGTGACATCCTTTAGTTCAGTTACCTGCCCTTCCACTTGGGTTACTGCAGTTGTTCCTTAGCAGGTGTTCTGGCTCCTGTCCTGCAGCCAGCCCAGTGCGTTCCTCTCACACTGACAGTGATCTTCCTGTAAGAGCTGATCACGCCACATTCCTGTGTAACACCCTTCCACGTCTCTCCAGAAGACACTCTGTACCTTATTTCAGCATAAAGTACAAATGTTTTGCTTAGTGTATGTGAAAGACCACTGATGGTCTAATTCATATTCACCTGTCTGGTGTGTTGAACCCTGCTCCCTCCACACAAAGTGTGTGGTTTTGCCTGGCTAACTCCTTTAGATTCATAAGGATTCTGCTCATGTAGCTCCTCTTCCAGAAACTTCTCCGTTTATCAGAACTGTCTGTCCCCAAGCCCTCATGTTTGAGACACGGGAGTGCTGTGTGCTAGCTCAGTCTCAGCACTGCTGGTGTCGTGTTCTACTTGTCTGTCATTCCTTCTGTCCTCAGGACAGACACTGGCTAGTACCTGATTCACAGCACCTCCACACTCACCTGTCGGTGTCCCCAAATGTGTCCTTGCATATGACTCAGAGTAAGGGTTATTAATGCCATGTGGAGAACATGGTATGTGTTTATTAGAATTTTCGTTGTTTATAATAATTTGTACAAAATGAGAATGAAATGCAGGATTTTCCATTCTAATCTGTGTGGGTTTTTAAAGGTTATTCAGCTTCTGAAAGCTGGAAAAGCTAAGGAAGTGTCATACAATGCGCTGGCCTCACACATAATTTCAGAAGACGGGGACAACCCGGAGGTGGGAGAAGCTCGGGAAGTCTTCGATTTACCTGTCGTAAAGGTCAGTAGTAAGTCTAACCTGTTGTGAGCATTTCATGACGTGCCTTGAAAGCAGAACATTGACACTTCATTGCGGCTCTTCTCTAAAGTGTTTGCCAAGTGTTGCTCCGGGTGGGCTGCCGCCGGACGAGTAAAGCCCTTCTGGCACCTCGGGACCTCAGCGTAAGCTCTGTAAGCTAAGCCGCACTGTAGCAAGGTTTCTGCTTATGCACCTGCTATGGGCAACCCCATTTTGTCACTGTCTGGAAGCTCCCGAGCCAAGGAAGGAAGGAGGTGGACGTGCTGAAGCAGGTGAAGCCTCCTGAGAAAGTGTGTTTGATTCTGAAAGCAGGTGAAGCCCTGCCGAGGGCAGCTCCTGAGCCCCGGCCCCTCCCTCCCCACCAAGGCAAGCGGTCCTGCTTTCCAGGTGCACAAGTTGAGGGAGCCCTGCGCCCTCTGGGCCATGTCACTGCTCTCCAGCGAGGGTCACAGTGAGCGCTTGTTCCACTGTCCCCTGCTGGCCGTCTGTGCTGCTATCCAGCTTGACCGTGGGTAGTTTATTCTAGAAAATGGAGCCTCAGCTGGTGGGTGAATAGGTCAGATTTTGTTGATGTACGTATTGTGCAGCTCTGTTGCGGCTGGTAGTTGAATGGATTGCTGTTAAATGTGGTTTTTTAATCTTAATTTTGTACTTTTGGTCCTTCAGCTTTTTTTTCTCAGCTCCTGTATTATGTACTTGTTTGAGAAAGGTTCTGTTCTACTACTGTTTTTTTCTCCCTTCTTGATGCTGTTTCATGTGTCACTTTCAGAAAAATCAGGATGGAAGTTACTGTGGTTTGGAAACACAAGAGGTTCGAGTTGGGAGAGCATGCCGTTGAGTCAGGCTGGCGGCGGAGACGCCGGCTTGCTGCCGGGGTGGAGGTGGGGTGGGGGCGTCTCAAACCTCACCAGCATCCAGGGCCTGAAACCCTGCCTCGGAAGCTCAGAAACCTGGTTTTTGAAAATAAACCTGAAAGCGGATCTGTCTCACAAGATGGTTCTCATAAACCAAACCCTCACAGACCTGCTGTTTACGTCAAAATAACTGTTTACTTGGCAGCGATGAAATGCAGCGGTCACGTTCCGCGCGGGAATGCGTGTCTCCATGAGGCCAGCTCGGCCTCCCCCGGGCGGTCCCTTGTGAAGCCTGAGTGTCAGCGGGTTTCCTGCCTGGCGCTCCTGGTGCCTCTCGGCCAGAGAGATGGCCCCGCTGCAGACAAGAGGCAGTGGGCTCAGGCCCCAGCCGCCCTGAGCCCTGTTCTGGTCTGTGGTGTGCTTCCTTTCCTCCTTCGCTGCAGGGACAGTATCTCATCCCGTCCCTTGTCTGCAGACTTTCTTCCTCCCAGGCAGGGGCCTGGAGCCTTCTGTCTCATCATCCGAGTGATGGCACAGGTGTTGTGGGGATTTCTTAGTGAACCTTAAAAGGGTGGCTTGTTAACAGATCTGGGTGCCCAGGTCATTGTTCCCAGACCACTTACAACAGTGCTTCTTAAATCTGGTGACCTCCCCAAGCCCTTTTTGTAGCAAATATTTTGTAACACCCCCTTTATTATCCTGAAATGAAATTCCTAGGTAAGGTAACATCACAAGACTTAAATCTCTGTGTATAAATTGCCCAAACTGAAATGGAAAGGAGAGGAAAAAAGGGAAACAAACAACAAGTGCACATGTCAGTGTAAATACTCCATCCCCTGCAGGCTGGCGTGAAAGAGTCCCAGGCCGCTGGGCGTAGAACCAGCGTCCCACAGCTGCAGGCGCCAGCTGCGGGGTGACTTTGCAGAATGGTGATCAACCCTTGCTAAAATTCTGAGCTAAACAACAGAAGTTGAATTGCCAGAAGAATCCGTCTAATATGCTGCATAAAAACCGCTGTTTCCCAGCTTCCCTGTCAGCCCCATGTTGTCGCCTGGCTTAGTACCCCCCACCCTCCTTTCCCCGTCTTGGCTGCAGTGTTTCCCAGGGGCCCCGGGGATGCTGTTCTTCCATCCTCTTCAGCATCCAGCCTACTTTGAATCTGTGCCAGCACCTGTGCTGTGCAGGATTACAGTGTTACGTGACGGGATGACAGAGTTTTCCAGAACCGGTCCAACTGCGCTCACTCCCAGAGAGGACTGTCAGACCCTCAGGTTCCTGTCTGAACCTAACTGGCCTTTGCTGTTGGGGCTGCTCTCAGCAGTGGGGTCTGGGTCCAGCTCGAGGCAGAGGCCTGCTTCTCTGAGCCCATATTCCTTGGCCTTGACCTTAATATTAAATATGACAAATATATTTTAAAAACAAGGCATCCTTTTGCCTGGGGACATATCACATATTTGAATTTTATCACATATTTGAATTTTATAGATTTTAGAACTTGCTTCTTTAGGCACTAAAACTTTTTAATTAACTTTTTAGTGTACCTCTGTATGTGCTGTTGCGTGTCAGCTACGCTGAGCTGCCGTGCGCTTACCCTGTGTGTGCTCTTGCTTGCCGTCCGGGTAAAAGTTCCTCGTTGCTGTCCTCTCCCAGTTGCCCACTCCTGCTGTGTTACCGGCAGTGGGTCCCACCTCCTGACTCTGCGCTGTCTCACCCAGACTCACCTGAAAGCGGACCCCGGGGTGATTCTGTTCTGCATAGCCTTTGTAACAGCCCACCCAGCGGTAGTCAACTGGGGTGCCCGCACTAATCCTCCCCAAGGCCCCGGGGGACCACCTTCCAGGGCGAGTGCTGTGTGGGCGCCTTCCAGACTCTTGGCCTCCTTACACGGCCCTTCCTCAGGCGGCCTGAGGTCCCTCCTCAGGTCACGCTCGCTCTTCAGTGTGCCCGGGAGAGTCGTGCCTGTACCATCCGAGTCACATTCCAGCGCGCTGACCTGGCTCTGAACCTCCTCCCGGACGCCCCGCAGAGGGGTGATCGGGAACACTGGTGTAGAAAGCCGCCCTGGTGCTTCACCAGGTGCCAAGGAACTGAGGGGCTCTGGTGTTACTGCTGAGAATAAGCTTGGCTCACATGAAGAAGACCTGAACATAGGAGTCAGAGCTGATACGGGGCACTGATGCTGGCCAGTTCCTCAGGTTTAACTGGAGTTTCCCCGGGACTGTCAAAAGTGAAGACTCACTGGGTAAAGTGCATGGATAGAAACACTGAATGCTTTCTTTTAGCTTGGTGCACTTTGTCCAATGTTAGTTAAAACATTTGGTGAAATTCTCACATCATCATGAAATAATTATCCCAAGCAGGACCCATCTTTATCTTGTAAAACGTTTGGTGTTTCTGCAGTGCTCGCAGGTGTTGTGCTTACATGGCCTGATGCTGGAAGATTGCTTATGTCACCTTAGAAATGGTGGGGGTGCTTTATTTTCTGAAGTTCTTTCAAGGTGTACATGATGCATGAGAAATGAATATGTTTCAGTTGGCTGAAGTTTCTGGAAGTCACCTGGCTAAGTGGGATATTACAGCACTTTTTATAGTAATTTTTGAAGGAGAGCTATTGGGATAATGAGTAATGTATTTTTCTAAAGTAAATATAGAAGTACAACATAATTTTTCAAAAATACAAGTTACCCAAAAAAGTAGTAATTAAGGAGTTTTTTATAATTAATCTGAGTTTTGTAATGCATAGAAAGATTACCAGACAGAAATACTTACGATTTACAAACACTGTATCTGCTTGGCTTCACTGAAAAAACTCGTAAATGTAGACTTGACTGCACTCAGGACTCCAGAAGGGAATTTAGGAGGGGCAGGCAGTCTGTACCTTGGACGGGGGCAGGGAGGGCATTCAGCTCCCCGTCTCACCAGCTTTGAGTTCAGTTTCTAGCCAGCCTAGAAGCTTAAGCAGTAATAAGTGTGTAAACCAGGAATTTAAATGTCTAGACATAATTTTTTTTAAGATCTGTAGTGTTTTATTCTATAATTGGGCTCTTTATCTTGGGCACCAATAACTAATCTTGGACTCTGGGATTTGTACAACTTGAATACTTATGGTTGTCACCTGGTGCTTTATAGTTGGTTATAACAGAGCCTTTAATTTCTAGAAGCAAAACCAGTTTTGATTATGTTTTGATTATGAACTAGAACTGTTTTTGATTTGCTTTAATGTTTTCTTTTTCAGCCTTCTTGGGTGATTTTGTCCGTTCAATGTGGAGCTCTCCTGCCGTATCCTTTTTGGGGAAGCGGGGAGGGGAGGGCTGACTCTGGGTTTGAGACAGAAATGAGCATCACTTACTGAAACGATCGTCAGTGAGGACAGACTGTGTTGTGTGCACTGTGTCCCTGCTCTTTTTCATCCCGCGTCAACTTCTGTGCACCTTGTCCTTGTCATTCCCCACGGGAAAGGGGACCAGCTGTGCGGAGGTAGCTCCAGGCTGGGCACAGAGGGACAAATTCTGGTTCTCCTACGACTTGGCTTTCTGGTCTTGGGCAGTCTGGACCTCCGTTTTCTGGTCTTTGTAACAGTTTTTGTGCTGTCTAGTTAGATGGAATATTTCAAAATTCTAAGTCTGTGTGAACCAAATCATGTATTACTTGAAGAATGGATTGGGGAAAAGAATGTCAGAACATTTTTAGCTTTATAGCGTGCACCCTAAAGTATGCGCGTCATCGGAGAGCGTAATCTGATTTTGGAAATCACTTCTGTTGAGAGTCCTGCTCCCATACAGTTATGATGCCCCAGTGTAGACCTGGGCAGAGACGGAGTCGTTCACTCTGCTTTGTTTTGCAGCCGTGCCAGGCCGATCCTGTGAGTGCGTTTGTTACTGAATAGACCGTCTGCCAGATAGAGGGACGCTTCCTACATTAAATACTTACGGGGGCCTCAGATGGAGAAAATACCCCTTCATAAGCAGTTCTTGGAGAATGTGCACAACTTGTAGCAACTCTGTCTCAAAAATTCTATGATTTCTCTTCCACAGTATGAAGAGTTGCAGAAAATTGGCTCCTGGTTAGTTTCTGGCTTTGGTTAGTTAGGGGTTTGAGGTCTGTGGTTTGACTTCTTTATCAGCACAGGTGGGAGAGTGGGAGCAGGGGTGACGTTTTTGAAGATAGGAGGCTCATTCCCTTCCTCCACTGGGTCCAGTGCTCTCCACGCAAGACACCCTGAGAAGCTGTCATCTTGTTTGGGCTCCTGCTGGCCGCTCCTGAGAAGATTAAAGGGACAGAAAGGAAACTCCCAGACTTGGTTAGACAACATGCTCGTAATTTGCCTTTTCTCATGTTTCCCCAAGTCTTTGGAAGTAGGAAATCCCCAAACTGAGGTAGGAGGTTGGAAACATCTTGGATAACGGGCTGAAGGCACGGCACTGGGGCCTGCAGAACGCAGTGGCAGGCAGGCTTCGTCTCCGCGTGGTTTCGCGGTGGGCCTGTGCGGGAGACTTCCATACTGCGGTGGGATGTTCAGTCTGATCTCTCCCTTAGTTCTTGATAGGTGTACTTTTCTCCTGGAGAGAGGAAGTAATACTTGAACCCATTTTGAATTCTAGACACTCCAAAGTCTTTAAAAAGTTGTCACATTTGCTTTTGAATAGACTGTAAAGTGCAGGCACCTCGAGGGGCCCTCTGCCCGGTGTCTGGCACACTGCAAGCTCTCAGTGGGTATGTCTGTGGATTTTAAAAGTCAGAGCTTTCGAACTGGGAAGATCTGGAGAATTGTGTATGCTAACTATTTTTGGCAAATGGGAAGCTGACGCTCAGAGTTGCCTTGCCCAAGTTCACAAGGATCTATGATGGTAATAAACCTAGAACTCAGTTCTTTTATGAAGGATTCTCCTGTGCTTATGTTTCATTCTGAAAAATGGACTTAGGACTTCCAGTGTGCTTTTAAAATAATGGCTATGGTGTGTGTGTGCCTGTGTGTCTATATAGGTGTATGTAGTTGGCTAGCTCTCAGAGGTCTAATGTTTTCCCCGTGAATATATGATACCCATTCTCTTGATGATGTAAGGGGAGAGACTGGACTTGAAGATACATTTTGCAGAAGACCCCTCAGTTTCTGTGCTGTCAGCCCCTCTTTTTCCCAGCCTGCCCTGCACATTTCTTGGGTCATCTTGAGTCTGCCTCTTTTCCTGAGTGGGTTGAGTGGGAAGGAGGGGTGGCCAGGGTCCAAATGGGCCCGTAGAACAGAATGTGTCTGTGAAATACAGGTGGCACTCGTCTCATTTCACTGGACTCTTAATAACTGTAAAACAGAGTAAATGGTTTTTCTCCAGAGTCGTGTCAGATTTTTTTTGGAATCACTGCCTGCCTCTCTCAGGTAAGCATGTTTACAATTAGTCTTATTTACGTGTGACGGTTGTGAGTTTTGATAGGTTGGATTTATGACCTATTTGTAAACCAGTTTTAGAGATGCTGTGTACTAAACTGTGTATTCAGTATGATCTTATGACACACTTATTTAAATTTCATGCTTGGTTTTAAGATTTAAAGTTTCAATGGGTGAAAATGGTCTTTCTAATCTAAAAAATTACATAGATTTAAAACTTGAATATGAAAAAATAGCAAAAATGAGATGGAAAGATGACAATGAAATTCAGAAGTTTAGATTTTTTTTTAGTAAATAAGGGGCTCTTGGATCAATATGAAAAAAGAAGACCTCTGTAGATAAGGCAGAAAAATGAATTTACAACTTTTTATAAAGAGGAGTTAGAAATAAGTATAACAGAATATTTGATACACTTTGTAAGCAAAAACATTTTAGTAGCCCTGAGATAAGAATTTCTCCTTACCAAATTTGTAACAGTGTATTCAGTGCAGACCAGCTTCCCATCCCTGCCGGCAGGAGTGCAGCTTTTCTAGAAAAGCTGAGCCGTGTCAGAGCCTTAAAATACTCGTTTCCTCTGCAGCTCTCTGTGTTCAGAGATTTGCCCCAAGTTGATAGAAGTAAGGGCAGGTGGGTGCATAAGGTGTGCAGTGCAGCAGCATTTGTAAGAGGGTAAAGTTGGAGACAGTCAGATTGTCCAGTATTTGGAGATGTTTAGGAAACCTGTACCTTATACAGCGGTCTAGCTCCGGCGCCGGCTTGGGGCTTTGTTTTGTGAATAAGTGTAAGATGTGGGAAGAAAACCCAGGATATAACATAGTTACGTGCAGTATTACAGAAGCAAGTAAGGTCTGTGAGAAGTACCCAAAGGAGGCCCAGGGCGCTAACGGTGGGGAGTTCTGGGTAGTGAGAGAAGTGACCGTTCAGCGTTCTTCCCTTGTTTTCTCTCCCCTGAGCTCCTGGTAAGAAGGGTTCCGACAACTAAACATTATAGCAACAAATCAGGTTGGTGGTGTTTAAACTCATTCTTTAAGTTACATGGAATAATTTGTTTAAAATGAGCAGCCGTTGGGCAGGAAAAAGGCCGGTTTAGAGTGTGCGCCGCCTGTCTCCCCCGACCTCCCGGGTGCTCCTTCGGGGCTGCTTTGAGGGCCTGCTGAGTCCTCGTCTCAGTTTGAGCAGGGCCCGCCTCCAGGATGCTAGGGCAGTCGGACAGGAGTTTGAGTACAGTTGTGCCTGTTTCCTCACGCCTTTGTCACAGGCGTGGAACCGGCTGGTGGGTTCGGGCCGTCAGAGCCCCGGCCAGACTCAGCCGTTCGTGCACGTGGTCTGAGTTGGAGCCCTTCTCTGTCCACGCAATAAGGAGGATTAATTATGGTTATTACGCTTTTGTGTCTCCTGTAAATTCTGGAAGTTCTTTAAATGGTAAAATCCTCCTTTTGTTTTTGCTACATTGATTTAATAGAGATCCTTGAAAAATTGGCTTTTTTCCTTAAGAACACGAATCCTGTTGGTATTTGTATTCAGTGTTTGTCACATTTTTGCTCTGAATGTGTACTGACGCGATGATCTTTACAGGTAACTAACGTGAGACCTTTGAATGACGTGTATGGCGGTTACATGCCATTTTTATTGGTGTCTTTATACTTCTCTGTATGTTCCAAACTTGTAAGAAACATTGGAAAAGGTTTTTGAATGAAAACATTTTATTATTACTCCTTATGCATAAACACAATGTGCTTGGCTAAAATGTGAATTTGTGTTCATTGGATCTCTGGGTTCAGAGAGTCAGAGCTCGCTATCCCGAGAGAAGAGGCGGGGGTGTGGAGTCCTGTGGGTATTTCCTGCAGTCAGGGTCACAGTGATATGGTATTTGGGAGACCTGACTTGGCGAAATGAGTAAGAAAATCAGGAGTATCTGAATATGAGATGAGTACAGGGTTTTAAGTTAGATGATTAGACATTGTTAAGTATTGACTATGAGTCTAGCACTAGAGCACCCTTTCAGTCTTGGTTACACTCAGCGGAGGTCATGATCTACATCATAGGTTTTATACATTCGGCGTGGAAGGTCCCAGTGTGCACAGTGCACAGGTGTGATGCGCTCAGTCGTGGCCCAGGTGTGAGTGTGCGAGTGTGGACGGCAGGTTAGGAAGCCCTGATGGAGGCTGTCGCAAAGAACCGGCGGAGCCGGTAGGACTGGGGGCTGGGAGAGGGCGTTCTAAATGAAGCGAGGTGGAGGGGGTGGGGAGCCCAGGTGTGAGGAGATGGACCTTGACAAGGTGTGTGATTGGGCGCAGAGGAGAAGGACAAGTAGGTGGGTGGAGGCAGGAAATACGGAAAAGCATGGAAGCTGGATGTATGAGTTTGAGCTTGATAAAGTAGCCGGCAGGGTGCCTCTTCACCTTTTCTTCCTTATATATGTAACCTTGGATTGCAAGTGTTTACATTAGAGCATTTGGAAAACAGAGAGAAAAGCAAACAGATTAAAATAATTTGCAGTCCTGTGGATAAAGCTGGTCTGGGAGCTGTAAGCATGACACAGGGCGGAGAGTGGGGGCTGACGGGAGGGATAGTCACGTATTTTAGACTTGATGAAGATTTGGATTCAGGTGAGCACTGTGTAAATGAAGACAACACGGACCCTAGGATCAGCTGGGAATCATGGCTCTTGGTGCCTTGGGAATGCTGTGGGGTAAAGGAGGACGAGCCAGCACTCCCAGTGGGCCTCTGCATGCAGACCCTGTGGTGGGTGCTCCACACTGAGGGCACAAGTCTGATGAGTTCCTCGTTTGAGATTAGGAGCATTGCTGCAGATGGGAAACAGGGGAGCCTGATTTTTGAGGGAAGATAGTGAAGTTAGATTGGAACACCTTGAGTTTGGATCAACTATCCAGATGCCGGGACTTGGGGATGTGGTGTGAAGGGCTGAGAATGACTCGTTCTGCAGAGGAGGGAGAGAGAGCAGAAAATCGGGAACAGAGCCTTGAGTGACGGGCATAGTTTAGGAGATTTGGAAAAAAAGGAAAGTTGAACATAAAGAGAGATGACGTTGGAGGAGCAGGATTTTATTTTTAGCAGGCATTTATCCAGGTGCAGAGCTCATCGTGGAGGGTGGCTGGAGCCACGGTGGACAGAAAGGTGACTGGGGGGGGCTACAGCTCAGTGGTAGAGTGTGTACCTAGCATGCACAGGGTCCTGGGTTCAATCCCCAGGCCCTCCATTAAAAATAAATAAATAAATAACTTAATCATCTTCCCCCCTAAAATAAAAAATAAATAAAAATAAAGATGTGAAGTTTTTTTAAGTGAATGTAGCAAGAACTTTCCCAAGCTTTATATCCTCTTAAGCAAATTCATTAGGAGTAAAAATTAGAACCCAGAATCAGTGTCCTGCGCTTACATTTACAGCTCATCACTCATGCTGGTGAATTGAAATCCCTGATGTGTAATAATACAGAAGCTTTGCTTTATTTGAGTAAAGAGTGTTTAGATAAAAATGGGGAAAGCTTTCCTGGATAGTACTTATGAAGAAAGCCTGGTTAAGAAAAGTGCATGGGGACACCAATATTTTGTGGTTGCTAAAAAATGTTACTTCAGTTGTAAGATACATGTTTGATGTGCATCTAAGGGACTTTGGTTCAACAGATACGTGGTGATACTCTGTGATGGGGACAGTGCCCGGGGGTGCAGATAAAGTACCATGAATCTTTCCCCTCGGGTAAGGTACATTCTAGAAGGGGAGACAGCACGTGAACAAATACAGTCTGTTGTAACGTTTGCAAAGATGAAGTGGGTCAGGATGTGGGAACAGTACCAGGAGGGGCGGTCACGGTGCTCCCTCCGCACCCAGAGGACTCTGGGACGCCTGCAAGTGCACACGCCGGGCAGGACCCAACCATCACGAGAGGACTGTTTGCTTGGTGGTTGTCAGTGACCTTCTGTCTTTTCCCCGTCAGGGTGTTGATACAAGCTGGAGCTCTTTGTTGGAGTCTTCCAGAGCTCTCCCAGGGAGAGGGAGGGAAGGGAGCTTGTGCCGGCAGAAGTTGGGAAGCACAGACATCAGCTGCGTTCTCCTGACCCGGTACTGATGCAGGCTGAGGCCTCTGTTGTAATGTGCTGGGTAGGTTTCTGGGGTAGGTTCCGAGTGATGGAGAGCCTGGCCAGGGTCGTGATTTAAATCTGGAAGCCCTTTCCATTCTGTATCTCAATCAACAAATATTTCTTGACTGCCTGCCCATGTGCCTTGCACTGTACTAGGTACTATCAAAGGTTCCAAAGACGGTTAAGATGTAATTCATTCAGAAGACTCCAGTCTCTAAGACGCAGGATGCTGGTCCGTAGTCAAGACTGGACAGAGAGGAGTTTACGGGAGCTGCAGCCCAGGAGCATCTGACTGGGGGAGGCCCGGAGGAGGAGGGCGCTCCTGGGGTCCGGAGGTGGGAGTGCGGGGGAGTTGCAGCCCTCTGCTCCAAGCCCCCAGAGGGCAGTGCGGGAGGGACGCGCAGGGGCATTCAGGGAGTGGTCCGCGTTCAGATTCAGGCACCTTGCCTCGGGAATGCAGGGCCAGGGCCTGGGGGGCAGGAGGAGGGCCGCTCTGGGAGGGTGCACTGCCAGAGCGGGAGCAGCAAGCGGCGAGGGACAGGTGAGCAGGGCCTCAGGCACCGCCTGGAGTCTGAGCCTTAAGGTGTTGGGACATCAGGCTCTCTTAGCTGAGACCAGAGTTGTAGTTCGGGAAAGTGGCTTTTTTAAAAAAGAAAAGCAGTGTTCCCCAGTTATAAAATTAATGCTCTTGAAAATTTGGAAAATACAGAAAAGTATAAAAATGAAAATAAAAATGTCCATAAACTTGTCACCTCTAGGTAACTTAACATTTTGGTGTGGAAAATCTTGTTTTATGTGCTGATACAGATTCATTACATGAGCTGCTGTGGGCATTCAGTCATTAACCAAACGTATGTCGATCGAGAATCTGACCCAAGGAAGTTTCCCAAGTTGCTAGAAGCTCCTCTGGGAGCTGTTCCAGGCCTCGCTTCCTCCCTGCCCAGTGGGCTTTCCACAGCGACACCGCGCCCCGCCGGACGCAGGCGGGTGGGGCGCGGGACTGGGTCCCTGCAGTCCGTGAGATAAAAGTGAGACCCAGCCGACGTGTGGCCACATCTTTGTAATAAACGCATATCTAGAGTATGCTATTTCATTTTTAATAAAGATTATACAGTGATTCATTGGAGTAATCTGTATTATCATGTAATTAAATCTCACCTCCCCAAACGCTGCAGGACATAAGTGTTTTTGTGAAAGTCTCTAATAAAAACAGCAATCTTCTGATCCAGTCTTCTGACATGTGACGCTGACCTAACTAAATTAAAGAGATTAAACAAAATGATTTTAAGGTGATTTCATAAAATTAATATGCTCTTGTTATTATTCACAGAGTAGTGTGGAATGCAAAGTAATTTCTAGAAATTTTTGTAAGATGGATGAAGGCAGCTGTAGAATGTTAGTTTTTGGCAAGCTGAGTAATGGCAGTTAAAAAGGAAAAACATGCTGTTTATCACTGCTTTAAAAAATTAACTTGAGACAAAGTTCAGGATCCTTAACTGTAATTCTAAATTTATAAAAGGTTATCTAGAAAAAAATCAACTTAAATGATTATCTTAGAATTAACACTCACCTATGTTTTTCTTTAATGTTTCTTTTGTCTTTCAGATTCTAAAATTTTATTTTTTAGAGATTATTTTTGGCCATAACTGCCCTTAGAGAAGTAGTATAGAACAGTGGTAAAATACAGTTTGGAGTTAGGCCTGAGTTTAGGCAGACCTGGGTTTTAAAAGCCAGCTTTTCCAATTATTAGCTGTAATTTCCGCGAGTTTCATATGGGGTGGGGCTAACGATCCCTACCTGCCCCGGGTCACACAGACTGTGGGTAGGTGTGAGGCACCTGGCACAGGTCCTGGCACATAGGAGGCAGGCAGTAAATGGTAGCCATCCTGGCTTGTCGTGAAAGCGTGATTCACAGCCTCAGCCATCGCGCCTGGGGTCGGCCTCGTCTCTTATGCAAGCATGAGAGTGACCCCTTCTATGCTTGCCTGATTTTTGTGTGTCTGAGATTCACATTTCCCCCCGAGCTTATACACCACTGTCTTTATCTTGTTATTTCATCCATTTCATACTTAGTGTTTACTTGTTACCCATTAATTATTAAGGACTCCTCCAACATGATTTCGATACCATTGTGTTTACACATTCCCACGAGTGGCCCGACGGGAAGACAAGCGGCTTTCTCTTCTTTCTTCCCTGTCATTTGTGGTATGGAGTGAAATAATCCTCCATTCAGTCTCTGGAGTGTGAATATAAGTTTTTTTATTTGGTGACAAAGCAAATAAAGTGATGTTTATAAAACTGTTAGGATAGGAATAAAAGCTTCTATTATTATTATTACAAGCAAAGAGCTAAAAGGTGACCTATTTCAGGTGGATTTCATTTAATAAGGGAGAAAGTTGACAAAGCAAAAGTGTTACGATGTCACAGTGCATTTTGATCATGGAGCAAGTAGGTGAGCAGAGATGGAGGCTCGTGATGAAAGCTTGATTTCTGGTCCCGCCAGGTGTCACCTGAAGACAGAAGCGCGCTGTGGGCGATGCTCACTTTCCACGGCGGAGGCTGCCAGCTGAACCTCAACAGGAAGTGCACACACTTGGTCGTTCCCGAGCCGAAGGGGGTAAGCGCCCCACGTATGTCCTCCTGGTGCCGTTCAGGTGTCTCTGGGAATCAGACGTCTTCTTCTGACTTTTAAATTAGTCACTTGATTCCATTTACAGAAGCTGATTATTATGAGTTTTATTATTTATATGTGACTTCATTCCACAAAGGATGTGAGATGATTTATAAGTTTTATTTTGAGCCAGATGTGATGTTTAAGTACAAAGAAATCTGGGTTTATTTCATGGAGAAAATAGGACAGTTTTTTGAATCTTTGGAGTTTGCTTTCACATCCAATAGAACTTCATTTTTATTTGTGAAAATATGTATTTTTAATCCTCTTCACAGTTTTTAAGAAGCTTGTGCTGAATATAATTACAAATGAGCGTTTGGTGAGGTTCTCAACACACCCTTCTTAATAACCTCAAACGTTTAAATTGTGTTTATCTCCTTAAGCTCAGGGCTCTCACCTCGAAAGCACTGGTGGGGCCGTAGGGATTTTGGTCCTTCAAGTGGTGTCCCCAGGTCAGTAGCACCAGCCTCCCCTGGGACCTGTTAGAATTACCTGTTCCAGGCCCCGTCAGTCAGAACCTGCCAGGACGGGGAGCCCAGGAACCTGTGACCCTCAACCCCCCGGCCGCCCCCAGGAGTTCTGCTGAGCACCGACCTTTGGTAAATCAAACTTTTTCCCTCCTGTGAGCAGTTACTTATAACTTTGAGAAGCATAGTGTATGCATAGTAGGAAGGTCTTTTTTGACTAGTTAATGTTTCCACATGTCAGTCATTACCTCCTCTTTTATTGCCTTCAGTCTGAATCAGCATGGCATGATGAAACTATCTTTTGTATTCCTGAATTTTTTAAAAAGTTTAAATTGAGAAGAACGGAGGAATTTATTTAATAACAGCATCTACAGAAAAACAAAGTGTGCTGAGTAGTGTTGGGGGTAGCAGCTGGTTTCTGAGTGTGCGTGTTCCACCTCTGCTGAAGGCTGAGCTGGGAAGAGACCACCCCCCACAGGAAGTGGGTTTGTTCTGTCGGCGCTAGAGCAGGCTGGGGGTCTGTCAGCTGGCTGAGCCGCGTCCCAGACTTGCTGCTCTAGAGCCACTCTGTCACATGGGTCTTGGGTGACTTTTGCCGCTTGTCTCCCTCCCCCTCCACGTGTTCCCTTTTGCCCCTGCCCGGTGGGGCGCCCCTGCCCGGCGCGCCCTCTCCTGCCCGCTGATGCTGGGGCTGCGGTCCACACCCGCGGAACTCCCGTCCCTGCCCACGTGACTAGCGCTGTTCCCTGCTGTGTTCTCTGCGTGTTTATTTCTCTCCAGCTGTAAGATGGAAGCCTCGCTCGGTCAGAGGGCTTTTGTGTCCTTTGTCTTTTTTTTCCCTTTCAACACCTTTACTGTGGTGTGGTTCCTGTACAGTGAACTACACATATTTCCAATGAACAGTTTGATGAATTTTGATAGAAACCAGCACCACAGTCAAGACAGCTAGCATTGCCGTCCCTCCCCAGGAGATGCAGGTCTCCAACTGCTGACTTACTCCTTCCTGCCCCCTTTCCCCCTTGGTAACCAGAAGTTTGTTCTCCATGTCTGTGAGTCTGTCTCTGTTTTGTAGGTAAGTTCACTTGTGTCCTTTTTTTAATTAGGGGGAGATAAATGGGTTTATTTATTTATTTACATTTGGAGAGGATACTGGGGTTGAACCCAGGCCCTCGTGCATGCCAAGCATGTGTTCTGTCACTTGAACTATACCCTCCCCTCTGTGTCTTTTTTTTTTTGTATTCCACATATGAGTGATGTCATACAGTATTTTTCTTTTTCTGGCTTACTTCATGTAGAGTGATCATCTCCAGGTGTCTTATGTAGAATAAACACCTGACTGAGGAAGTTCCCACACTCCTGTGATGGTGCCCAAGTCCTGAGGATGCTCTGCCCGCAGTTACACTTTGTGTTGAGCGTCGGTCTGTGGTAGCCAGAGCTGATGGCCGTCACGTTTCATCCCAAAGAGAGTTTTTTGTGGGGTTCCGAGCCCTACGCATTGTGTCTAAAATGTCCTTTATAAAAGCTATTTGGAAACAAACTCTTTTACGACCCTTGCCGGCGGGCACCAGACGTCCTGTGGCCACTGATACGTGGTCCGTTGTGTCCCGTGTCCCCTGGCTGAGGGCGTACCCGTTTCCTGTGTGTGAAGTGGCAGTGACAGGTGCTGCGTCCCTCCTGAAGTGCTGTCTGTGATGCTCAGCTCCAGGGCGTCTGGCCAGACCTGCAGCTCTGTTTCCGTGTGTTTGTGTTTCCCCCACAGGAGAAATACGAATGTGCTTTGAAGAGAGCAGGTATTAAGATCGTGACCCCTGACTGGGTCCTGGACTGCATATCTGAGAAGAGCAAAAAGGACGAAGCACTTTATCACCCCCGGCTCATTATTTATGAAGAGGAAGAAGAGGAGGAAGAAGAGGAGGAGGAGGCAGAAAATGAGGAGCAGGATTCTCAGAACGAGGGCAGCACAGATGAGAAGTCGAGCCCTCCCAGTTCCCAGGAAGGCTCTCCTCCCGGGGACCGACAGTTCTCACCCAAATCAAACACTGACAAGTCCAAAGGGGAACTGATGTTTGACGATTCATCAGATTCATCACCTGAAAAACAGGAGAGAAATTTAAACTGGACGCCAGCCGAAGTCCCCCAGTTAGCGGCAGCGAAGCGCAGGCTGCCTCCTGGCAAGGAGCCCGGCTTGATTAACTTGTGCGCCAACGTGCCGCCCGTTCCGGGGAGCATCCTGCCTCCCGAGGTGCGCGGTAACCTCATGGCCTCGGGACAGAACCTCCAAAGTTCTGAAAGATCAGAGATGATGGCTTCTTGGAGTCCAGCTGTGCGGACACTGAGAAATATCACTAATAATGCTGACATTCAGCAGATTAACCGACCGTCCAACGTAGCACATGTAAGTCACTCTAAAAAAACAGAACTTTAAGTACTGGATTTTACAATCTTAATATAGTTTCATTTATTGTTTCCTGCTTCTTTAGAACAGTCAGCTTACCAGCAGTGTTTATGTGCATGGGAAGTTAGTTTATGGCCTTCTATATACATACACGTACACACGTATTTCAGTGTCATAAATTCTGTCATGAGAGGTGGCCTGACTGCGCCCACCTAGGGGGAGCCCTCAGCTGCGGAGGTGGCGTCAGGACCCCGGGGACGAGTGCTCTCCCTGGGAGCGTGACCTCCACTCTCACCCAGCCCAGCTGGTGCTGGGGACAGAGCGAAGCACGGGGTTTCCCGGCTGTCCCTTGTTCACTTGTGATAGTAACGCAGCAGAAGCTCGCTCACTCGTTGAAGGAGCCTTAACGCGAGCTCACAGGTTTATGGTTGGAGCTTGTTGGTTCAGCATGGACTTGAAAAGTTTCAGTAAATTGTTTTCAATTTAAGGCAGAAAGAAGGTAGTTGAGGTGGTGTTTTGGCCCGTTTGCATTTTTGTGGGCCTTGGAGACAAAATGGTAAATAAGAAAGACCTCGTTTTAAGTGGGAAAGACAGACAGTAAGCAGATAAACCTGAACAAAAGGGCTTCTGACTGGTACAGGTGTTTTGAAGACAGTAACAAGGTGTCACATAATAGCAGTTGGGGGAGGAGGCTGCTGTAAGTTGAATGCTGGGGAGGGCCTCATGGAGGGAGCGGCTTAACTCAAGGAGGCCCTGGGGAGCGCCAGGGGACGGGAACAGCGCTGTGAAGACCCAAAAGTAGGCGTGAGTTTGCTGTGTTCTAAGAAAAGAGAGACTTGAAGGCGAGGTGCGTTGGGTGTATTAGGGACACCGAAAAGGGGCCTTGTTGCACAGGCCCCATGTCTTGTCTGAAGGGTAGCCAAATAGGTATTTCTTACTTTAAATCGCAATACCACAGTTGAGTCTGATGGTGGTGGTGGCTGTAAAAAGCCTCTATTGAGTAAAGATATGTAAAAACTTTTTTTCTTCCTTCCTGCCCTCCCTTGGGTTAAGCAATGGCTAATTGATAATACCTGGTCTTGAGGCACTGGGAGTGGGTGGAGCCAGAGAAAGGCTGAAGAAAGCACACACTTGAGACGTTAGAAGGAAGACGGGAGACATGTGAGCAGGGCGGGAAGAGAGGGTCAGGGATATTCAGGAGTGAGGTTTCCAGGTGTTGACACCGGTGGCGTCTGGGAAGGCAGCGTTGCCGGAGCTGGTCAGGAGCCCATGTGAGCTGGCGCCCCCCCGCTCAGGATGTTAGCAGGAGTGAGTGCAGCGGGTTTGACTCTGGCCAGGGGAGGTGGGGGGCCGGCGCAGGAGAGCCGCCTGCCTCCGCAGTGACGGTGACAGGGCGGGGTGGTGGGGGTAGCTGGCAGCCCCGAGGGAGGAGCCAGCGTGGTAGGAGCTTGGCGTGTGTGGATTAGCGGGTTTGGGGATGCACTGGCCTTGGATGACGAGACGGAGACTGTTGGGTCACATTCTGATCAACGCATTTAGTTTTGTCCAAATAATTTAAATTTGACTTCTTTGCCTAAGTTGGGAGATTCTCCATGAAGATGGCCCTTTGGCCAGTCTCGAGAAGCGGGGCATGCAGTGTAATGCGGAGCTGGGTTTGGGAGTCTGAATGGTCCTTTGGCTGAGCAGCAGCTGCCCTCTGAAGTGAGGCTACGTCCGTGTGCTCACTGCCCACACCCTGTCCCTGCTTAGCTCTGCCCCGTCACACCGGTGTTACCTGCTGGATCCTGGAGGTGACTTTTAGTTTGCAGCAGACTACAGTCTGGAGGGTGATTGGCAGCGAGTGTCTGAGGGAAGGAGGAGGGGCTCCCTGACATGAGGTGGACAGAGGACAGCAGGGCCAGGCCTCGTCAGATGGGGTCACTGGAGCGCAGGGGAGAGGGGGAGCCCAGGGCCCATGGGCATCGGCCCCCAGCAAGGGTGACGGCGGGTAAAGCAAGGCCGGGAGCAGAGTCCCAGCCGAGCCGGGCCTTGGGGAGGCCGGGGAGGCCAGAGGGGCGGGTAGGGATGCCGGGCCAGAGGCAAAGAGGGGGAGAAACTAGACATTAGAGGTGGGGGAGGCTGCCGGGCAGCCCGTCTGGAGAGACGACCTGACCGTCCCGGGGGGACTGGCCCTGCTGGCTGGCAGAGACCTGCACGTGCGCCCCCAGGAAGGTCTGTCCCGCGGCGTTGGTGCAAGAATTACTGAGCCGATGTGCAAAGCCGCTGGCGGCTGGGAAGTGTTACCCTCCAGCTTCCCTCAGCTGAGGAGCTAGGGACGGGCGCCAGCTGTTTCACACACAACGGAGTGTGCTCTGCTCTCCATTCACCTGCAGGTAGAGAGCGCTGCAGATCGGTTACGGGCACCTCTACTGTATTCTGTGCTTGGTTTAAATCCCAAGTTCCCTGAACTTGTGTTTGGAAGTAGAGAAAATAATCTCGTGTGAAATGGCAGTGATGACTCCCTGGGGGCCTAGGGCACATCTCTACTTTGGAAGGTGTCCTGCAGGTGCGACATCCTTCGAGGATGAACTTGCCCACTGCGCTGTGTGCGCGGAGCGGCCGGGGCGCTCGGTCCACTTTGAGTGAGTGAGCAGGGTTGATCACCAGTGAGAACAGCTATGTAGAGGTTTCCTGCGACTTTTTCGGCATTGTCAGAACGTTAGGACATTTTGCTGCTAGAGATGAAGAAAACGAATCTTTGAAATGTTAAAAATAAAAGATTTAGATTAAAATTAGGTCGGGGGTTGAGGAAGCATAGCAACCATCAGAATCCTCTTTCAGTCACAGATTTGGGTGGTCAGCAGCCCCGTGGTGGTGTCATGCTGCTTTTTGTGTTGTGGCACTAGGTATTAAGTAATTTAAACAAGGACTTGACAGCTGTGAGGGGAAAAGTCATACTTGACATTCATTAAAAACTGTTTGCAGTATGGCAAATTATGTGCTCAAGCAATTAAGAGTTTTTCCTTTGATTCTCCAGGATTAACATAGGTTTTCAGCCAGAGGCACCTCGGGGTTGAAAGGGGAAGGAAGGTGTGCTCAGAGGCATCCCAGTGCCCACTCCCCAGCCAGGCCCGCCGGGCTGGCCTTCCCAGACCAGCATCCACCGTCGTTCCCGGCTGGGCTGTGGTCTCCAGTTGCTCTCCTGTAGCCCCCCAGCCGCCTCTGCCCCTCAGATGGTGGTCACCTGGACAGAGGGCAAGTCCAGCCCAGGCCTGGCCAGTCTGAGAAGTGAGGGCTGAGGGGGGCGGCCCTCCTCACGTGAGCTTCCCCCCAACCCAGGGTCCAGGAGCAGCACGTGGCAGACAGGCGTTTATTTCCTCCTGATTAACTTTCAGATTTATAAAGGTTGCTTATTTCGGAGGGTGAAAGAGTAATACATGTGCAAGATTTTAAAAATTCAGAAGGTGCCAAAGGCTCCAAAGTGGCCCTCGCAGCCCCCGCCCCGACGCCCGCTGGCTGCTGCCGGGGCTCCCGGCAGGCACACGGGCAGGCGTGCCCCCGCCACGAGCTTTCTCGTGGAACGGCAGCATCCAGATGCTGTTCTGCACTTGGG